CCCTGTGCTTTGCTAAGCTTGTTCTAAGTAGGTGCTTTAGATCACTGAGCCATCTCACCAGCCTCCAGTCTTTACTTTCTAATACTGCATAAGCAACCAGTTCTATAAGTTTGGCTTTAACTGTTTCCTCTTTTCTCTCTCTTTTTTTTATTTTTATTTTTATTTATGTATTTGGTATGGATTCTCACTGATACAGGGAGAAAAACTGATCTTGGGTAGGTGACCTCCAAACGACACAGGGAACCTCTAAATGGTATAGGGGAAAAATGATTTCCTAACCTGACCTGCATGAGTTCATGTTCTCTAAAACCGAAGAATGAATTTCAGGAACAGATGGAGGGGGCCTAGGAGATGGCTCAGTAGAGTACGCATTTCCCTGGCAAGCGCAAGGGTCTGAGTTCAATCCCCAGTTCCGCCAAAAAAAAAAAAAAAAGAGGAACAAATGGAGGTTATGAGCAGAATATATTTATTGAGGGAAAGAAAGCTTCTACCCAAGAGAGGGACAGGAGGGGGGCCCTGAGCGGGTAGTGCTCCCCCCTCCCCAGTTGTCTCTTCCAGGGACTTCTATAGTGTGAAACCATGCGGGGTTGAGGTGGAGAAAATGGGAACTCTCTTAGGTGGATGTGGGGTGGGACAAAACTATGGTCAACCAATGAGATTACGAGCACCATTGCTCAGGTAACATTGATTAGGCCCAGGACCAAATGGGAAAGGGAGTCACGTAGCAAGCTTCAGGAAACAGGACTTTATCTGGTAGCCATCAGATAATGAGTCTTCCTGGCTCCCTCAGGGTGATGATCAATCCCGGATGCTCATCCTTAGAGAGGTCGGCATTTGCTTGATCTTTCGTCTTTAGGTCTAGCTCACTGCAGGAGCATCCGTCCCTCCCACAGTTGTAAGGTATCTTGTCTTTTGTGTTACCTCCTTCGAGGGCCTGTCTGACTGCCTATAATACTTCTGTCTAATTTGGCTGCCTGCAGCATCGCTACGCAGCTTGGGCTTATAGTGATCCTTCTGTTTTCAGCCTCCCCAGTGCTGATATTACAGGTATGCACCTCCATGCCCAGACTTGGCTGTGGCTCAGCACACCCGGAGGCGGGACTGGTGCGACATGCAGGACCAGGGCTCACATCCTGGTCCCTGCACTTGCCTAAGCAGGTGCTTAGTCTGCTGAGGTAGCTTGCCAGCCCTTCCTAGGAATTTTGAAAAACAAGTGTTTCTACTGTTTTCTGTGTGGACTTTGTAGTTTCTGTGTATCTCTTTTCTAATCTTTGTCCAGTGGTTACCTTGTTGTCATAGCTTCTTGCCTGCCTCCATAGAGCGGGTGGTGTGGGGGTGCAGTCTCTGGTCCCCAGCTGCCCTTCCCGAGGGCTGTCTGTTCACAGCTCCTGCTGCCTTACTTCCTTGGGGTCTTGGCTCAGGGTAAGGTTCTGCCCCAGGCCTGCTACTTTCTGAAAATTCCTCCACCCTCTTCTGCCGTTCTTCCCTGCTTTGTTTCTTCTGTTCTGTTCTGCACTTAATACTATCCATTGCATTGTCCAGAGGGGGCAAGGAAAGGGGGCAGTGCATCAGTGGGGGAGTGGCTAGAGCAGAGGGGTGTAACTTGCGGCCAGGAAGGGGCTGAGTGTGTGGACTTGGCTCTGAGGTGGGAGGACCGGAGCACGTAGGGCTTGGGAGCTGCGTCGGGGGTGTGATGGGTACTAGGTTTTGATGAAAGAGGTCCTTATATCAGTTGTGGGTGATGCTGAAATCCTGGGAAGGCAGGAATACTTAGAAAATAGAAATGTATAACACTGGCTGAAGAGTCAGAAACTCACACAATCTCACTGTTCTTGTAAACTTGACACCATGGCAGAAATACTTCTAGAAGGTTTCCAAGCAAGCTACCAGGTGTTCACAGAACACAAAGGTTATGGAGCAAGGTTGAAGGTTCTGCATGGAATGTGAGCCACTGTGTGTCCAGACTGAGTTTTAAGGGTTCTCGCTGTGGCCCACCGTGGATAGGTGAGATAGGTGAGTCAGGTTGCGGAGAAAGACGGGGAGCATCAGCCTCTGTAGGTGCTTGGGAGGTGCCCTTGTATTGGAGAACGGATTGGCTGGCTTTCTTCCAGGCCTTTTTAAAAAAAATTTTAAAAATTATTTATTTGGTACAGGGTCTCCCTGTGCCCTGGACTCCTAGTGATCCTCTTGGGGCAGCCTCCCCAGCAGGAGGAGGGATTACAGGTGTGCACCACCATGCCTGATAGGGGCGGCACAGCGCGTGGTGCCGCTTGCCAGGCAGGCACTTAGCCATGGAGCTGTCTCCTCAGCCCTCAAGGCCCACTTTGGATGGCTCCTTTCTGTGTTGAGAGCCGGTGTTCCGTGGTGGATACCAGAAGCCTTAGTTTGAGGGGAAGGGTCTGTGACTTCACGTCAGCTCTGGAGTTGAGAGGAGGCTGTGGCTCCCTCGGCTCTGGCTTCCTCGGGGTGGCAGCAGCGTGCTGGAGGTCTGGGCAGCGCCTCCTGGCTCTGGGGAAGCAGCGCTCGCCTTCCTGTGGGTCCAGCTTGCCGGTGCCTGCTCCTGGGCAGGTGTCTCAGGCGTTTGTGTCTGAGGCAGCGAGAGCTCGTGTCCCCGATGGCATCACCGCGGATGTTTAGCTGCATATTGACATTTTGAAAATTTTGTTCTTTCCTGATGGGATTCATCACCTTGCTTAGAGAACTTGTAGTGTGTTTTGTTCTGTGTGTGTATTTAGTTTAAACATGTCACCCTTGCTGACATGCTGGCAGTTTCATCGGTGCCTGGCTTCTTCGCACAATAGTCATTTCCAGCGCCACCCTTCTGGGATTATTGCAGAGGGGTGTTTGTTTGAGTTTGTTTTTAAGTTGACAGGTAGTAAAATGCCAATAATTCTTGGTTGGAATAGAACTGTGTAGCATCTTCCAAGTGGCATAATCTGGTACAAGACAGCTTAATTTTTTTTTTTTTTTCCTTTTCTTTCTTTTTTTTTTT